AGGAATGCCATGTCAGCCTCTCCTTATGGAACAGGAGTGATGTGAGCTTTTCTTCCTGGGCGGGGAACCAATCCTGCACCCGAAGAAGTGGGCACTAGTCGATGAGAGCTGAGGATGGAATAAAATCTTGAAAGTGGCGGACTGAGTCCTGAAACTCTGTGGGGTGAATATTTCTTGGGGCCGTGCTCCCTCCTGTGGTGCCGACTGGTATCTATTCAGAGGAAACGGAAGGAAGGTTGAGTCCAGGGGCACCTTTAAGACCCGCAGAGTTTTATTCAAGGCGTGAGCTTTCGTGTGCGTGAGCACTTCCTCAGACACACTGAAATGGAAGTTATCAGTTCATACATATAGGCAGAGGGCGAAAAGCAAATTAGCAGACGACATAATGAAGACGTTTTAACAGATGCGAAAACCAAACGGGAATAACGAGCTCAATTTATATGGTCACCATTTGTTTTGGATTAAATTCTGGGGAAGGGGGACACAGTGAGGTAAATGAATATGGCAGAGTTGGAGACCAACATGCAATTGTATCCTTCGTGATTAATCCCACCATTAAGAAGGATACAGTTACATATCAGTCTCCAGTTACCAGAAGTGGCCCAAAAAACTTCATTCGGGATTGGGAAATTTCCTTACCAGCCAGCTGGCCGGTGCGGGGGGGAAGCACCCCCCAAAAGTGGGGGCTCCTCCTCCCCCAGCAGGGGTCCTGGAACCCTACATTCTTGTAATACACGGAATGGAATGGATGCCGTCACCACACCCCAGTTTTGAATACGAACGAAGAATCACTTTGAGGATAGCTGAACACAACATGGTGAGACTGCTGCTTTCACTGAGCATGGGGATGCTGATATTTGTTAGCTGTTGTAGATTTTCCAGATTGTATGGCTGTGGACTTGGCATGACCATACCAAGAGCACGGCCATACAACCCGGAAAATCTACAACAGCTAATAAACTCCGGCCGTGAAAGCCTTCGACAACATGCTGATATTTGTATTTTATAAACACTTCAGGATAGCTTGCAATGAAGGCCTTCTGCTGTAGCAGCAACAGCACTGGTCGTCCCTCTCATACTGTTTTCCCTCTACACAGAGCTGAAGCTGGCTGGCGGTTCAACTCAGTGTGCCGGTCGAGTTGAAGTTCTCCATAACCAGCGGTGGGGAACCGTGTGTGGAAATGGCTGGGATCTAAAGGACGCCCGTGTTGTATGCCGGGAAATAGGCTGTGGGAAGGCGCTAACAGCACCAACTGGAGGGAAGTTTGGACAAGTCTCTGGTCCCACTTGGATGGACGGACTCAACTGCACAGGAGATGAAGAGGGTCTACTCAAATGTCCAGCGAAGCCCTTGGCAGAATACAGTTGCGATCCCAGCCTCCATGCTGGTGTCGAGTGTGCAGGTGATTGTCAAAGAACCACAAAAACGGAAAGGATCCACCCCCCCCACATCTGCTTGTTTTAAGATTTGGATAGTCGCCAGGCAGGACTAAGTAGCAGCAGCAGCTGGCAGCCTCTAGGCAGGGTCGGCCCGAGGTTTCTTGGTGACCTAGGCGAAACTAGTGCCCCCCCAGATGAGGCTGCTTTGTGGCACCCACCCTCACCTTGTGTCTCCCCCCCCTCCGCCGCCGCATGCCTCTCCATGCACCAGCAAAGAAGTTCCATGATGACACTCCAGACTCGGAGAAAGGCAGGGAGGGAGGGCAGAGGGTGCAGCAGGAGGCGGGGAAGGGAGGCCGGGTGCAGTTTGGTGCCCCTAAGGGCTGGTGCACTCTAGGCAAATGCCTAGTTCACCTACTGAGCAAGCCGGCCCTGCCTCTAGGCCTCTCCTCTCCAAGTAGGGTTGCCAAACCCTAGGCAGAAGTGGGGGTTCCGTCATTTTGCAGGCTCCTGCCCGCTGCCGGGCAGCTGACCGATGGGGGAAGCCCCGCCCCCAACAGCCACGACCCAGTGCAACGGGCCTAACATGATGATGTCACGTGGGAGTGAAGTCATCACACAATGGATATCATGCGCAATGATGTCATCCCCACCCCCCACTCCCAGGAAGCTCCCTCCCACCCCCCACCGCCGAGGAGGTAAGACCTGGCCACCCTACCTCCAAGGAACGCTGCCTGGCCTGCCACTTACCCAAGCAACAGTGCAAGCCTAAGGATTGTGTGAATGGATACTTCCTGTGAGGGAGGAAACAAATCCCTGGCCACACTGTTGACCTTCCATGTACACTTTTTATATGCGGAGAATCTTTTTTTTCACATGGAAGAACGTGGCCTGTCACCCATCCACAACTGCAGTATGGAGCATTGCTAACATATCTACTCTTTGTGCAAACTAAGGCTGTATATAGATTGAGGGACCCCAGGTTCATATCAATTGCCTGGTATAAGAAACAGCCACATCTCACCAGCCCAGAGGTCATTTCGGGGGGGATCGCAGTTCCCCCGGGTGTGGTACCGGGGGCGGGGCACATGACAAAGCCCCGCCCCCTGCTTTCGGCCGCCCTGCTTCCGGCCCTCATTCAGGCAGGAGGAGGCAGGAGAAGAGGGAGGGTAAGTTGCTTCCTCCCTGCCTCTCCCCACCCCTGCCTGCCTGGGGCCAGGGAGGGCCTTCGCGGGGCTTCCTTGCACTCCCGCCGGCCTTGCAGGTCCACCGCCAGGCCCCTCATGGGGCTCAGCAGTGGAGCTGCAAGGCCGGCGCCAGTGGCCGGGACCGTTGGGGGCGGGGTATGTGGCCTTATGACACACTTCCGGTGATGTCAGGGGGTGTGGCATAGGCTACTGAGTTATACTAATGAGTTCCCCTAGCTCTTTTTCTACGAAATGACCCCTGCATCAGCCTATAGGTCAGCATAGGCCAGGATTCCCCCATGTAGAGCCCGTGAACACCATACCACCCAGCAGTACTTCTCCAGTGCCTGCTGCGCTTTTCAGAAAGTGGATGGGGCCGCTGGGCACCGTTACTGGTGAGCACCGTGGTGACATGGGACTTGAAACTCATGGGAGAATTCTTCTCTTAAGGTATCCTGTACTGGACAATATTTGAATAATTTGAGAGCCAGTTTGGTGTAGTTGTTAAGAGTGGCGGACTCTAATCTGGAGAACCGGGTTTGATTCCCCCTTGTCCACATTCAGACAGCTGGGTGACCTTGGGTCAGTCACAGTTCTCTCAGAGCTGTTCTCTCAAGGGCAGTTCTCTCAGAGCTCTCTCAGCCCCACCCACTTCACAGGGTGTCTGTTGTGGGGAGAGGAAAGGAAGGTGATTGTAAGCTGCTCTGAGACTCCGAGTGAAGAGTGGGGTATAAATCCAACTTCTTCTTCTTGATGTTGGGGAGCCCTGTTCTAGTCTTAAAGTCCAAGGAGCTAGACTGTTCCATGAGGAGAGATGAATGTTCAGGAGCTGAAGCCACATCCTCCTTCTCCAGGCTTGCTGTCCCCCCCACCCCAGTGGCTGGACCATGTGTCCTCACCTCCTACAGTGGCCATTTTGTATTTGACTCCACCTCCTGCAGCAGCCATTTTAGGGTGACACTCATCACACCCTCCCAAAAATCTAAAGATTCCCTGCAGGCTCAAAAATGGGATTCCTAACATGGGCTGAACAGGAAGTATAAAGCATGAATCATGGGGATATTTTTGCATTTGAACGTCCTGACAGTGAAAGAGGTTTCTCAGTGGAACAGGCTTCCTCGGGAGGTGGTGGGCTCTCCTTCTTTGGAGGTCGTCAAACAGAGGCTAGATGGCCATCTGACAGCAATGCTGATTCTGTGACCTTAGGCAGATCACAAGAGGGAGGGCAGGAAGGGTTGCATCAATGCTTAGTTCTCGTGGCCCTTTCTTACACGCCCAGGGAAATGCTGATCGCCACTTTCAGGGTCAGGAAGCTATTTTTCTCCAGGTCAATTTGGCTGGAGAAGGGTATTTTGTCATCTTCTGGGCATGGAACAGCAATCACTGGGGGTTTTGGGGGGAGGTATTTGTGAATTTCTTGCATTGTGCTGGGGTTTGGACTAGATGACCCTGGAGATCCCTTCCAACTCTATAATTCTATGGCATGTCCTTTTCTACAATGGCCCAAGTGCTCATATTACACACACTGGATGCCTCCACAACTGAGAATGCAGTGTGCAAGTATCAAAGCACAGAGGCAATGCAGAAAAGTGTGTACTAAGTAAATCGGTTCCATAAATATTAACTGCTTGTCCATGTCTTTCTCCTTCCCAGAACCACCAGAAATCAGGCTAGTGCAGGGTGATCATCAATGTGCCGGGAGAGTTGAAATATTCCACGAAGGCCTCTGGGGAACGATATGCGATAGCAATTGGGATCTTGAAGACGCGGAAGTTGTGTGTCATTACCTTGGGTGTGGTACTGCCTTCTCCGCCTCACGAGGTTCCCGTTTTGGAGGCGGATCTGGTCCCATCTGGCTGGATGGTGTCAATTGCACAGGGAAGGAGAATGCCATCAGCAAATGCCCTGCAAAAGAGTGGGGGGCTCATGACTGTACCCACTCTGAAGAGGCCGGGGTTATATGTACAGGTATCTTCCTTCATCTTGGAGAAAGCGAACTGATCAAACGGCTTAATTCTGCCACGGGCACTTGCACACAACCCATGGGACATTAAGCCCATATGACTGGGAATTCATTCCTTCCAAATCGCAAACATGATAATGAGCCAAGCTCAGAGCATGCCAACAAAATACTAATTTCAACAGGCACTGGGCATATCCATACTACCCACTAGACTATACCCTCTCCAAAAGCTTCCGGGGTGATGGGGAGTTGAAACTCATGGGAGAATTCTGATCTTAAGGTATCCTGTACTGGACAGTATTTTAATAATTTGCCCTGAATCCAATATCTCCAATAGCTTGGGTATGTACCAAATACAGTATGTTGTACAAGCGGTGAGCCGGTGACCCCTGATATTCACGGAGGGGGGGATCCCTTCCCCCTCCTAGCTTTAACCCCTCCTCCTCATCACTGCCAATTCTCCATCGCAGCTCCCACAAGATGACAGATAGATGGGAGGGCACGATATTCGGGGGGGGGGGGAGAACCCCTCCCCCTATTATCTATAACCACCCCATTGTCACTGCCAGCACTCTTTTGCAGCAGCCCCCACTTTTAATTAAAATGAAAGCTGAGAGGGCGAAAGGATCCCCTCCGCGAGTCTCGCAGCTCCTGCCCCACCCACTCTATCTCTCAGCTTGAATGGAGCCGCAACGAATCCCTGGCAGTGACAACGGGGAAGGGGGTTAAAGGCAAGCTCGGTACAACTCCCAGCCTCTGCCACAAGGCCTGCCACTTTGCTGCCCCCTCCCACCTTGATGCTGGCCAAGTCTTCATGGCTCGTGGCCTTCGTCGCTGAGTCTGCAGAGGCTTCCAAACCCCTCCACCCTTGCAGCTGCAGACATTTAAGATGTTTCTAATGGGATGTGCTATATTTCTACCTTTAACGAACCCTTTAACGAACCCGTATTGGTCCCCTTTTATTATTGTTGGGATAACTTTCCTTAATCTATTTGCCAATACTTTAGCAAAGATTTTTTAATCTTGGTTTAGAAGACTTATAGGTCTATACGACCCTACTTCTTCTGGGTCCTTTTGAGGTTTTAATATCAATATTATTTCTGTTTCCTTCCATGTATCTGGGGCTTTTTTCCCTTTCAAGACTTCATTAAATACTACCTGCAATTCGGGCATTATTATCTCTATCATTTCTTTGTAGAATTCACTTGTGAATCCATCTAGCCCTGGTGATTTGCCTTTTTTTAGTTCTTTTATTACTTCTCTTATTTCCTAGGTTGTAATTTCG